CCTTCCTCCTTATTTTTCTGGGCACCTAAGAGGCTCTAAAAAAAAAAATAAAAGCTTCAAAAACAACACACAATATGAACAACAATATCTAAACAACAAAACAGGAGAAAGCCCTGGGGGAGACTGAAGACTGTGGTGAGCCCAGTACTTGTGTTTGGGGTGGGGGCATGGGCAGTGGCAGCCAATTTGGGAGGGTAGTAGGCTGCATAGATGCAGATGACAGGATGGGTAGGAGGAAAGTTTTCAAACTTCTGCTCCTCCTTCACTGCACACATCTGAAGCAGGCCCTCAGACCACACATGCCAGTGGCCCTGGGGCAAAACCAGGCCAGCAGGAAAGATGGGTTGATTGAGGCATTTGACTCCTGAGTCTGTGCTAATAACCACCTGAAACCATCTTAGTGTGTGAGGACGGGCCTTTCAAAAGATTCTCATTTTAATAGAGTACAAAGAATAGACAAGAAACAGAATAGCGAGCAAGCCCTGATGACCTAGTGGTTAAAGGTCGGCGCACTCTGCTTCTGCAGCCGGGGTTCCAATCCCCAGCAGGGAACCACACCACTCATCTGTCAGGAGCTGTGCTGTGGCGGTGGCTCACATAGAAGAACTAGAAGGACCTACAAGTAGAATATACAAATATCTACTGGGGCCTTGGGGAGGGGAAAAAAAAGAGAAGAAGATTGGCAACAGATGATAGCTCAGGGTGACTCATTCCCAGCAAAAAAAACCCGAAAGAACAGAATATCAAGTATAGGCGCTAATTACATAGAGAAAAAGAAGGTATTCTTTCATAAAAGAAGTATACACATATATATATAGTCTACATGTATCTATAAAGACTAATACAAACATAGATGAATGTATACACGTTTATCTGCATATTCACGTGGTATGGACACATACGTGTCTATACACAAATAGAAGCTACATATGTTATAGATACAGATACAGGACAGCCACAGAGGGCAGAGACGTACAATGTATTTCTTACTAGGAAGGAAGATTAAAAAGTGAAAATCCCTGCACTCAACCACGCAACACGAGGTCACCATAGACCCGGACGACCATCCCGGGAAGCCCCTGCAGCTGCTCAGCCTCTTCAGGACAAATGAAATCCAGAAAAGGAACGGTTCGCGGTGTTGGCCTGGCTGGTGAGACCCCACGGGAAGGGGGGCTTCTTCTCTGACCTCCCCCACAGCCCTGGGCACGGCAGCCCCCATCCAGCACCTCCCCTGGGACGGCAGCCCTTCTCGGCCAGGGTGGACGAGGACCCTCC